ACGCCACGTGATTCTCGTATTCGCTGGGTGTTTCTCGTTCTTCTAAAAACTCCACATACTCTCCCCGGTCCTATCACTGTTTCATATCACTACCCACGCTCTTTCGCCTTCCTCTCACCATCTCCTTTTTCGCGTCACTCTCTCATCATTCCTCATTTCAGCTGTCTACAAAATCAAAGGTTCATGAGTACATGAATTTCTCTCGGCAGATCGCATCACATAGCCGCTGCGTCTCCCCGTATAGTGTCTAAAACTCTCTGTTTCAGATGTTCAATACATTGGCGTCTCTCGACCATTCGGACGTCTTCGGTGACGTCGCGTCGACGGCGCTGGACGAGTTGATTCGAAATTCGGCAGCTGCAATCAGTGGTCACAGCAGTCTGTCCGGCATTCAGCCGATGACAGGCTTGAACGGTTCGCAATTTACGCAGTCGAACAACTTGACGAACTCACAAGACGCTCCCAGTCGAGGACGCAAGAAGAACTCGAGTATGAACCTCGTCTGCGTTGTTTGCGGCGATCAGGTATGCTCTTCGTAAACATTTTCAGGCCCGGGTACTGTAGATTGCTATAGTTTAGGCTTTTGGAAAACACTATGGAGTAAATGCCTGCAACGGATGCAAAGGTTTCTTTAGGAGAAGGTTTGTTGTTCAACTAAGCATATTTACGATCTCATTAACAATCTACGCATTGGTCTTTCTAAGGATAAATTCTTTAGAGTATCAAAGTCTTTAGAGTCTTGTGTACTGAGTGAATCCTTCTATATACAAAAAGCTCCGCAAAATGCTGTATCTTTTTTGAAGGGGTGCTAATTTTTTTAGAAAAATGGGTACGTAAACAATTTTCAGTGCAAAGAATCAAGATAGTTTTTTGATACTGTCACTTCGACTGGTTTTGCGAAATCATTTTGTCTACGATATGCAACTTAATGAGCTTATTCGGATCAGCTCTCCAGCTGTGCTACCTTTTGTGCTGCGTTGTACTTGTTCAATTGATGCTTATAATCGCTTCACGGCTGCACTCGAATAACTGCAAGCTAATCTTGGAAAAAGGCTTTCATATATGTGTAAGTGAGAAACTAATGTAATTACCTTTCTGTAGATATACCCTCAATTTCCTCATTGTCTCAGAGAGACTAGAAGAATGAGAACTTTTGAATTGCGCCGTCATATCTTTAATATGTAGCCTCACATTCATCACATTCAAATAATGATTTACTTTCGAAAATCAAGGTGATCACCGCCACTGATGGATCTTTCTCCGAGCAGAGTCTAAAGAAATCCGAGAAAAACATAAGAATAACAAAGCACTAATTGTAATCTAGAAGTATATCATCGGAAAAATTTAAAAAAAAGGCA